ANGATTGAGCTTCATGATAATGTCTGTGATCTCTGTTGTAGTGGGAGGAGTAGACATCAAGTTTTGTTGAGCCTCAGAACAATTTAAGACTTGTATTTCCTGAAGCCATTGAACGGAGGATAGTAGTGGAGCCAAGGCAGTTGGAGCTAGGATGTCCTTGAAGTGGNAAATCGCAATAGCACTCATTCCATCTGGATCAGAGATTGTTTGGCCGTTGGAAGCGGTTAGTGATCTTATTGCATTGCAGGCAGACCTAGCAATAACCACTTTTTGGTAGAATGTAGTGTTCTGGTCCCCTTCTTTAAGCCAGTTTATTCTCGATTTTTGCTTGAAGAAAGATTCTTCAATCCCTCTCAGAAAGATCCATCTCTCATGCATTTCTTTTTCAGCTTGGAAGGTTTCTGGGGAAGGATTTTGGATCGCCTGTTCCTGCAAAACTAGTAAAACAGCGTTAGTCACTCTCACTCTCTTTTCAATTTCTGAGAAACTCTCTTGACTTAGTGCTTTAAGAGCACTTTTTATTTGTTTCAGCTTGAACCCCATAGTAGCNAGATCACTAGCTCGAATTCCACAGAGGTCCCAAGCAGCCTCAACACATGTAAGGAAAGTAGGGTGTTTGGTAAGATAGTTCTGAAATTTGTAAGGCTTAGACCCAGAGGAAGGTAAAGGGCAAGCAAGATCAATTAAGCAAGGAGTATGGTCAGAGAAGGAAAAGGGGAGGAAAGTGGCAACACTGTCAGGGTAAGTGACAATCCAATTCTCATTTACTAAGGCTCTATCCAGCTTCTTTGTGATAGGATCCTCTGGCCTTTTGTTAGTCCAGGTATGAGAGCACCCCTGGTAACGCATGTCATCCATACCCAGGTTCAACATAATGTCCTTCAGCTCAATCATATCATCAGATAAGTGATTAACNGAGGCTTTTGAGTGCTCAGCAAAGTGCATGATTTGATTTAGGTCCCCACCGATTAACCAACTTGTGTTTTCCAAGAACAGAGTTTGCTGAAGTTCCAAGAGTTCCTCCCACANCGGCACCCTTTCCTCTCTTGTATTTGAAGCATAGACAGCCGTGAAAGTGAACTTGAAGCCCCCAGGAAGAGCAACAGAGGACGTCAGAGATTGTTTTGATTGGTGAAGGACTTGGACAGAGCAAAGGTCCTTCCAGATCAGAATGATCCTACCATCAGCATCANTGTCATGGTTCGAGGTAAAGTTCCAGCCAGGACATGCTCTCATCATAACATGATTCAAATTTTGTTTCTTGATATGTGTTTCCAAAACAGCACCAATGAGAGGCTGGTAAGNATTCAGCCATTGAGCAAAAGGTTGATGCTTGTCCGGGTCATTTAGGCCACGGACATTCCAAAAAAAGGTCTTGGGATTCATTGNGATTTGGGAGGAGCCTCCTCCAGCTTCAGAAGAGGGCTCACAAAAAGGTTTACAGGAGTAGTCGATTGACTGGTTGTTATTAAGGTGAACGAGTTTGGGCTAGGGTGAGCAGCTGGTGAGATGGGGGGAGTAAGTACCAATGGTTTTCTAGGAGTTTTTTTTTTTTGCTTTGCCATTTGAAGGTATGTTGGTGGAGGTATTTGTGGTGAGATTATGGGTGGTGAGATAGTGGGTGAGTTTGTTGGAGGGATCAGAGGGGTTGGCGGTTTCTTTTGGTGGCTAGAAGGTTTGAAGGGGTTAAACTGTTTAGGGTTGAGATTTATGGTAGGTATAACAGGGCCAGGGGTTGGGGGAATCACAACCACTTGTCTCGAGTGGAAAGCAGCACCAAGACCCAGCACAAAATTTTGAATAACATCCATGGGGGACCCAGGGGAGGAAGTAGGCCCAGGGGATGCTTNAGGAGAGCTGGACTCAATTTCCATGCTATCAACCACTTCAGTATCTGGAACCACTATAGAGGGTTGTTGGTCCAAGCCTGGAGAAACCGCAACAAGAGGCTCCACAATAGGCNAGTTNGGTTCAGGCTGCACAATCTCTGGGGGAACACTAGAATCCTGAAGAACCGTAGAAGGATCATCAATAGCCGCGGTAGTTGAGTTTGAATCTTTAGTCTTCTTTTTATTCTTACTGACAACCGGCGTCCATTGANCAGGCTTTGGACAGTTCCTCATTAGGTGACCAGTTTCTTTGCAGCTAAAACAAGTNGGAGGTGGAGTAGCACTTACAGAGTCAGCCTTAGTGAAGGCCTTTGAATGTTTGGGTTTTTGAGTGGCTACTGGC